ATTCAGGTTTCTTCCAAGGACAAAATAAGATGCTTTTTGCTTTGATTGATTTTTTTTTCCCCAAGTGAAACTGGAGATCAACTTTATGTTTTAGCACACAATTTGGTTTCATCAGAATTAAAAATTAGAGTTTCTTGAGCACCTCCCCCTCCGAAAGAAGACTGAGTTTCCTTATACTGCTTTTTTTTTTTTTTTAAAGATTTTATTTATTTATTTGAGAGAGAGAATGAGATAGAGAGCACGAGAGGGGGGAAGGTCAGAGGGAGAAGCAGACTCCCCGCTGAGCAGGGAGCCCGATGTGGGACTCGATCCTGGGACTCTAGGATCATGACCTGAACTTCCTTATACTGCTTCTTAAAACTACTTCTTAGAGGTTGAAAATGAAACATTTCTTTCTTTAGAAACTTACAGAGCTACAACTTTGTTTTTGTGATTACTAAAAAAAGTCATCTATTGTAGAGAAGAGTTCTGTGTATCATGAGTTATCTTGGCTCTTTAGAGAGGAAAATGATTACACTATAATCTTGCCTCTACACCACTTGCTGAAGAATGACATTATGTGTAAGATGCAATCATTATGGGAATGAGAGGTAGGGAAAGGCCAAGTATGGAAGAAGGCTCCACTTACAATGCAGTGCTCGTAGCTCTCAGGGAAAGTCTATTGTGCATATAGTTCCAGTCATGGCAAGTTAAGGAGAAATATATCTAAAGGAAGATGAATTCTGAGGAAATTATAGACCATTTTATAATATCCAATAACAAATGATAGGTGCACCATGTAAAATGTGCCAAATTTTCCTTTATTAACTTTTATAAAGGTGTAAATATATTTCTTAGCTCCCACTGATTTAGATTTGGGAAAAAAAGAGGGAATATTCATGAGTCCCAATATAAATAAGAAAATGATAAATAAATAAATTGGAGAGAAGGGGCATATCTCTTATATGGAAGAATTCCAAATAACTGATGTAGCTACTTGCCTCTTAAGGAAGTGGAGCTTAACTTCCTATTGCTTGAGTGTGGGCTATGATTTATCACTTAATGCCAAAATTTTGAGTATAAAAGTGGGGGAAGGATTTACTTAACAGTGGAGAAATCTGGCAAACACTACCTTGGCCAGGTGGTAAAGGTTAACATCAGTAGGAGTATCATGTTGATGGCACGTACCCGTGGTATGAGATGATCTCATTGAAGGGCACCTCATCTTTGTAAACTGCCTCTAAAAACCCATAATCTAACCATGTGAAAACATTAGATAAACCCCAATCGAAGGACATTCTACAAAATACCTGACCAGTACTCCACAAAAATGTTATGGTCATCAAAAACAAGAAACTATCATAGCCAAAAGTAGCCTAAGGAGACATGATGACTAAATGTAATGTGTTCTACTGGATGGGATGCTAGAAGGGAAGCAAGAACATGATGGGAAAACCGTGAAATCAGAATAGTGTGTGGACTTGAGTTAATAGTAATGTACCAAAGTTGGCTCATTAGTTGTAGCAGAGGCACTATAGTAATGTAAGATGTTCACAATAGGGGACACTAAGTGGGAGGTAGATCAGAATGCTGCACTATTTTTGTAACTTTTCTATAAATCTAAAGCTACCCTAACATAAAAAGTTGATTTAATAATGTTTAACATACTGCTGTATTGACTGTAACAGAGCTCCTACATATTAATCAACATGTCTCTTTTTCTCCTACACCGATATACCAAATCCCATGGCATAAAGGGTCATTTTCCTAACACATAAGAATACTTCATCTTTGGGCGCCTGGGTGGCTCAGTTGGTTAAGCGACTGCCTTCGGCTCGGGTCATGATCCTGGAGTCCCGGGATTGAGTCCCACATCGGGCTCCCTGCTCAGCGGGGAGTCTGCTTCTCCCTCTGACCCTCTTCCCTCTCGTGCTCTCTATCGCTCATTCTCTCTCTCTCAAATAAATAAATAAATAAATAATCTTTAAAAAAAAAGAATACTTCATCTTTCAGGCCAATGTAATATCAGCGGAGTCATACTTATTTTGAGAATTTCAGATTTTTCAATAATATTTAGGTCATGCCCTTAGTAGTATGACACAAATGCTCAAAAGATAATGTCCACAAACCCTTATTTCTCAATGGCTTTAAAAGATGTAACATCCTTCAGCCACCTATCCAATATACTTATATTTCATGTGAATGTTACTGACATATTAATAAGACAATGTATTATCTCTGAAAGTAACAATCTTTGCTAGATAACTGAGAGCAATGTTCATTTATTGATCATTGGTTAACATGATAGGTAAGGGAGTAAGGTCCGATGTACCACTGTTTTAGAACATGAATGAGATTATTTCTTTGCTACTCCATACCTGGACTTTAGAATTATAAGACATCAGGATTCTGGGAAAATTAGAAAAGATTTCTTTCATACTGTTTCCAATTTATCATTTTATTGTGAAAAGGGGGAAAAAGTATTGTCACCGAATGTTTACTTAACAAAACAATTACGGATTTCTGAAACTGTTAATAAGAAATGTGCTTTTGTTAATACCTAATAGTACAATTTTAAAAGTTCAGTCGATCAAAAATTTAACCATAATAAGTTGGTCAGAATTACCTCTCTAATTCTGCTTTTGGGAAAAGATGCAAATGCCATTAAAGAAAGCTAGAAAAAAAAATATGCAACTTCTGGAATATATTTCAGGGCTAAAAATAAGATTCAGTGAAAGCACTTGTACAATCTGTATCTACTGTACTTTTTCCAGTGATACCTTGTATTAAGGAAAATGGCCATGATGCTTGATAGTGAGAGAAAAGAAAGTGTTCTGTAGGGAATTCTTAACTAAGGAATTGCAGAGAGTCAACCAACATATTTTAGAAATTTTTTTACAGTTAGGTATTTACTATGGAAAAAAAATAATGGGTCAGGAGAGACCGACAATAAACGCAGATTGCTGTTTTTATATGCCTCTTTAATATGTTCAGTTCAGTGAATATTGTATTTTGCATTTTGTTAGACTAGTGTGCGTGTGTGGTAAGTAATGAGAATTATAGCATCTCCCTTTCTCAGAACACCTATGGTGAGTCAAGCTTTATGATGCCAAGCATCTGACAAACACCATCTAAAACTTAACACAACTCTGCAAGGTGCATACTATTACTATTTAACAAGTATGGGAACTAAGAACACTAGAAGTGAGGGAACTGAGCAAAGTCCCACAGCTTGTGAGTGAGCCTTTACAAACTGTCTGGCTGCCTCAAATGCCCAAACTGTTTCCACCAGAGCATGCAGCTTTGTTATACTTTCTAATTCTGAACACTATTGAATTCAATGTTTATTACTAACCTGGTGAGTCAGGTCATTGCACCTCTCGGGGCTTCAGGTTTCTCTTGGGTAAGTGAAATTGGCTGGCTGATTTCTAATGTTTCTTCCAGTTTTAAAATAGTAACATTGATTTACATACAGGATTAAGAAAACTAAAATGTTTTTGTTAAAAGAAGGTCATGAACACTAGTCCTTACTAAATTTTGTGATGATGGGGATCTATCTAGAACTAGGTATTCATGTGATTTCTTTCAAATCTCTACAGTTCTGTTATGCCAGGACTAGTGATCTTACCGTTTTCAATGTTATTCCCTAAAGTTTACATACAAGTGGAAATTTCATATTTTTGTGGCACTGCATAAACTATATACTTAAATATGTGCCTCACAAAGAATTAATAACTTGCATTCAAATACGAAGGTAAAGAAAACTATTTTTTTCTGGATCTGAAAATAATCAAAATATCGGTTTATTTTAATTCACATTTATTTAAATATAACAATTATTTTCGACAAATGAAAATACAAGCATATTTATAAGATGGTAGACATAAATATAAATGAAATGTATTTCAGGCAAAATTTAAGAAATATATTAGACAAACTGATGACATACTTAACACTTAGCTTCAAGGTACATTAACATGGATGTTAAAAAGGATGTTTTCACAAAAACTACTATAAAATGTTCACATCTGTGTTAGTAATAGGTCACATTTCCTAGACTGATGTTTTATGAAAACTGGAGATTTAATGTAATCATTCACCTCATGTGGTAACATTATTTGTAAATGAAGCATATTTTTGTCAATAGAGATATTCATTTAACTTTTAAATAATATGGCATTTTTATCAAGACAATGCTACCTTTATTAGACAAACATGCACAACACATTAAAACTCGAATGATTCACGTACCTTTATGCACAGTGTTTAGTTTTGCTATGGCACTCTATCTTTGTGAAAAATATACTTACAATTTGGCACAGAATCAATAAATTGTATTGCTCCTAATCAAAACAAATGTGATTTAAATTTTGCATGCATGGAAAATACTCTATCACAATTTGCTTTTTCCCTTTACATTTTATTGACCAATGGCAGTTCTTTACTGCTTTAGTTGGCATAAATAATGGATAGCCAAGAACTAAAAGTCATAGTTAGGTGTTTTGCCTACACTCTAATTGGAAATGAGTCGATTTCAGCTTTTCTAGCAGCAAAACATTTCCATCTGTATTGTGGCCAACAAATTTCTAAATAAGGGTGTTATCAACAATAATATGTATCATCATGAGATGCTTTTCTTTAGGAGGCAAAGAGGTTGAAAGGAAACGTGGATCTCTTCATAAACTGGGAACATATGTGGTAAGGGGAGCAAATGCCAACTGAATCAGAAGCAGGGGAAGTTCTTTGGAAAGCAGTGACGGCACACGCTCTGGAGTAGCAACGAGGCAGAAAACAAAGGCAGGCCCACGGGAACCATTCAGGGTGGAAAGGGCTGCCATGGCTTTGAGGAAACTGAAATGTATCACATGTATCCCTCAAAAGAAAGAGCATCCAGAGCAGGGACAGCATTCCTGAAGCAGCAAACTACCACTGCTTTTTAGGAAAAGTTTTACATTTCCACCTCGGTGTCTAAATCGGGACTGAAGAAATTAAGCTAACTGGCAACATTTTTTTTTTTTTTTCTGAATTCATTCATAAACATTGTGGAAGAAGAAAGGGAGTAACATTAATTCAAGCTTCCTCCAAACCACAGAAGAGAAATTACACTCATTCTAAGCGTAGACTTCAGAGTTAGGGTGACTAAGAAAAGTGCCATAGCTCTTTCTCACCGTTCTCCTAAGATAAACTTGAGGGGTTGTATTTTGAGAGACTGGTTGAAGGAATCTGCTCCTTTCATAAAACCTTGATAGCCTAGTTTTTATATTTATTATCTGGGGGAAAGGAAGCAGAATTAAGTCCACCTTTTAAACAAATAGAGTAATGAACATAATGTTTTCTTTGCTTTAAGATCCTTGCTTTTCTGAGACCCTTTAAGCAGTGAAATGGCAAAGAACATCAAACAGGTTAAATAAAATGGGCAAACTTTTGTTTAAAGCTGTTACAGTGCAAATAGACATAAAGATTACAAATCACAGAGCACCGAATTTTCAAGAGTGAAATCGTACCAAAACCGTGATAAATTTTCGCTGACATCGTAGGAGAGTAAGTGGTCTGGAAGGTCACTGATGGTGCCCTGCACAGCCAGGACGTGTGGGGCCAAGGTGAAGGGTACGTCGTTCAGGAGTTCGGCCATTAATGAGTTGTTTTCCAAAGTCTGGCCTGCCTTATTTTCCATCTTGGGGCTTGCTACAGTCACACAGGATGAGTTTTCTTTGCCAGTCTAAAAATACATATATATTTAAGTCATTTAGACCTCGTGGACTTTGAGGCTTAGTAGTGGTAAACGGGGCGTTAATATAGCAAAATGATTGAGAAATGTGGACTATAGAAATATTCCCAGATTAGAATGCTGTTATTTACTCTACTTGTGAAATACCTCCATCTAGATCTCTACTAGGCTTTGAAATGAATTCTAATCCCTACTCTTACTCAGACTGACCACCCAAGTCCTCCTCAAATACAAATTGGCATTCCTGCTATTTCCCTAGCCCAGATCATGTCTACAAAGTCTGGCTCACAAATCTGATGTATGCTTTCAGGCTCTACAGAATTCCCAGCTTCCCTGTGAAATCTTTTATCAACATAGTCCAAAGTGACCTTGTCCGCTTCAGAGAGAATATGGGGCAAAATGCCTAGGATATCATTTGGCATTTGCTGTTTGTATCCTTGCTAGTGGTTGTTTCATTATACATATGTCTTATCCCCAACTAGAGTCTCGGGTACTTGAGGGCAAGAAATCTATTTGACATCTCTTTGTATTCTCCACCTTGCCTAACTTACCTTGCATACTTTGTATGTATGCATGTATCCTCCACCTTGTATACCCTGATACATACTTGAATATTTACCTTGAATGCGAACCATAAGTATTGATTGACTGCCTGACTTTCACTGGAACTAGCATGCTATATTACCCAAGGTATTCAAATAAGAATTGATATATCTTGTTCAATTTCTTTAAAACTGATATACCTTGCATATGGTACTTTACCAAAAGATGTGCACCAGGGTGTTCATAGGACTCTATGCAAGCCCCAAACTGGAACCGAACTAAGTATCCATCACCGGGAGAATGGATACAAAACTGAAGTGTATTTACAAAAATGAGAACCAATGACCTGCTGCTCCAAGCAGCTGAAACCTACCTCAAACCAGGTTAGGCAAAACTTGACTTTCCCACCCCCTCAACCGGGTCTCATGCAGAATAAAACTGCAGAGTCTTTACAGAGGCCTACAGGGCCCTTCCTGATCTGGCCCTGGGGCACCTCTCTGCCAGTATCCCCAGCTAGGCTGTCCTAGCTCCCTCCTCTCTAGTCCCACTGCCCCCTGCTGTTGCTCGTGCACACCCAGCCTGCTTCTGCCTTAGGCCTTTCCTCTCCAGTCCCTCTGCCCAGGAGGTTCTTCTCCCAGACATACCCAGCTTCCTTCTCTCACAGCCTTCTCAAGGAGGCCTTTCCTGACCACTTTATTTAAACTGTGGCCTGGCCCTTACCTCCCGCACTCCAGCACTCCATCTCCCTCTCCTGTTTTTTCCTCTCCATAGCCCTCAGCACCTTGTCCTATGGTATGTGAGTTATTCTGATATCACCCCTTGGAAGCTTAAGGAGTTTCACTTCCCATGTTCACTGCTGTACCCCCAGTGCCCAGATCAGTGCCCAGTGCTCAATAACTCTTTGTTGAATGGATGAAAGCAGACAAGATTTTTCCCTGCATGGGGCTCACATTGTAATAATTGTAAGTGCTGATAAATTCCTCCTAAGTCTAGAGGAGAATGGTTTTCTGTGTAAGAAATAGCAGTTTTGTTAAACTTGTTATTGAAATGGAAAATGAATACAGAAAAGGGTACATCGTAAGTGTACAGCCTGCTCGATTTTAACCAACCAACCACCTGTGAGCAACCAGCACCCAGATCAAGAAATAGAAGTGACCAGCTCCCCAGAGGCCAAGCAGGTGCTCTTTCAGTCACAATCAACTCCTTGCCCCTCAGTCACCATTCTGATTTCTAACAGCACAGACTGGTTTTACCTGTATTTTAAATGAAGTCATAATACAGTATGAACTCTTGTTTCTGGCTTCTTTCACTTAGCATTTTATATATGAGATTCATCCATGTTGCATTAGGGCTTTAAAAAATTTTTTGAAGAACATATTGTTACAGAGGGCGTAAATTCTTACTGATGACTACAGACGGGGGCGGGGGTGTGTGTGTGTGGTGGTACTGTGCCCAGGGAAGGAAGCAGGAAGATCAGCTGGGAATGAGAAATGATTGTGGATTAGGTGGTGATACTAAAGGTGATACGGAATGTTTGGATTGTGGAAAGACCAAGAAGAAAACCAACAGGATTTGCTGATGGAATGGATGTGGGGTGTGAGAGCAAGAGTGGAGCAAGGATGAAGCCAAAGTCTGTGGCTTGGAGCAATAAGGATGGAGTCTCCATTCTCCATTTACAGAGATGGGAAAAGAATGTCAGCAGGGATTGGGTGTGGCAGGAAGAGGAGGAGGTGTTTTGGACATTCCAAGTGCCTTACAGACATCCAAGTGGAACTGTTCGTAGATAGGGGGATCCGACAGGAGTCTGGAGCTGGGGGAGATCGCGAGGAGAAAGTCTGCTTGGTGCTGTGTTTAAAAGATGATGGGAGGTGGGCGCCTGCGTGGCTCAGTCAGTTGAGCATCCGACTCTGTTTGGGCTCAGGTCATGATCTCAGGGTCATGGGATGGAGTCCCATGTTGGGCTCCACATTGAGTGGGGAGTCTACTTCTCTCTCTTCCTCTCCCTTTGCCCCTCCCCCTGCTTGCACACGCACTCTAAAATAAATCTTAAAAAAAAAAGATGATGGAAGGAAGGCAAGTAAAGACAAATATGAGAACAGACAACATTTTGAGACATGGTGTTACAGATGGGAAAAAGATATATGGGCCAGTAGCTAGAAAGGGATGTGGGGTCAAGAGAGGTTCCTCTTGATTTTTCTTTTGCTGTATGAGTTGAGAGAAATGACACTGTTGTTATGCTAATGAGAAGTTCTAGAAAGGAAGACTCCATGGAGATTCTATAGGAGAGGAACTGTTCTCTTCACAAGGCATCCCCGGCACCTAGAACATAGGCCTTCAAGAAATGTTTGTTTAGTAAATGACTCTGAATTAACCAAACACATCCCTAGCAAGAGTCATCTTCACTTCAGGTGAAAATAAAACACCAGAGTACTTTCTTAGGGCTGTAACTAGAACAGTGTAACCACACCCTGCTACGACAAAGCTTATTAGAAAGGTCCGTGGATGCAGTGGACAGAACCTGCCTCCTGAAACCTGCGTGAGACTTAAATACGAAGGATCCCTGGGTCAGATGAGCGCACAGGTATCAGTGAGCCATGATGCCACAGTTCCAGCCTCTTCAGAGGATCTCACCGCACATTCGCTGCTTTCCTCAAGATGACCTATGCGCGGAGGCTCTGGTTGCCGTGGAGCAGCACAACAGAGTGTTTAGAGCACAGATTCTAGAACCACACTGCTTGGGTGCAAATCCAAGGTCTCCTGCTTATTGTCTTGGGCAAGTTATTTAACTCCTCCATGCCTCAGTTTCCTTGGCTATATTATGAGATCAAGAACAGTACCTATTTCACAGGATTGCGATGAGGATTAATGAAGTGGTATTTATTCATAAGTAAGTAGAATAATGCTTAGCACATGTTAAAGTGAGTGAATAAATTAAAACTTTGGGAATGGCTAATGCCACTTGGCTTTAGATAAAATTTAGGATTCACCCATCTCTCTCTTTTTTTAAGATTTTATTTCTTTATTTGAGAGCGAGAAAGTGTACCAGTGGGGTGGGGAGGGGAAGAGGGAGAGAGAGAATCCCAAGCAGACTCTGTGCTGAGTGTAAAGCCTGATGCAGGGCTCCATGCGGGGCTTGATCTCATGACCCTGAGATCATGACTGGAGCCGAAATCAAGCGTCAGATGCCTATGGGGCGTCTGGGTGGCTCAGTTGTTTAGCGTCTGCCTTCGGCTTGGGGTCGTGATCCCAGGGTCCTGGGATCGAGCCCCACATCTGGCTCTCCGCTCAGCAGGAAGCCTGCTTCTCCCTCTCCCACTCCGCCTGCTTGTGTTCCCTCTCTCACTGTGTCTCTCTCTGTCAAAAAAAAAAAAAAAAAAAAAGTCGGATGCTAATGATCGAGCCGCCCGGGTGCCCCTCTTCGGTGTTTGACATCATCTTACCCTGCCCTCCGCTCTCATATCTTGCTTCTCTCTCAGTCTCATGCACAAATGTTCCCTAGATCTATCCGTTAGTAGCAGCCCATGCTTGAACTTTCTGCTCTTTATTGTGTACAGAATGTTCTCCAGTTTCATCTCCTTTCTTCAATAAAAGCATCCCTGAAACCTCACCTTCTCCACTCCCGAGGAGTTATAGTACCCATACCGGTTTGCGGTCTCAATATCCAACTTCTAAGGCTTGACCCTCGGGCAGACTGCATCTTGGATAGTAAAGGAATTGAGACCTATGGTTCCTTGTTCAAGTTCTCCTGATAAAACTGCCGTATCCTTCACCCGCCTGGGCCTCACTTCTCTAGTCTGTGAAATGATGAGGGAGGGAAAATAATCATGAGGGGGAGGAGGATGGCAGCAACCGGCATAAACTGGGCACTTCCTTTGTGCCAGTCTCCATCTGGGCTGTTTAAATGTACTCACCCATTTAAGTCCTACCACAGCTTTGTGGGGTGTGTACCATTATTAGTCCCATGTTAAAAACAAGAGGGCACGGAAGCACACAAGGTGAAGGAAGTTGTCCCAGGTTACAGAGCTAGTCTGTGGTAACACTGAGAATCAAGCCCAGTGACCTTTAATGCTCCACGTTCAAAGACCCCGCACACCTCAGCTTTGGATAGATTGGGCAACTGAATGAACAAAGCCCTGAAAATTGAGGGGATGGTATTACAAAATATGACAGGTGTCAACATAGCATATCCTGGCCTAATTCAGAAGGAAAAAAGACTCTGATATCTTTTACCATTAGGAAGAGAGGACTGAAAAAATCATTAAGGTGACAGACCTTAGACTGAAGAACGACAGAAAAGCAACTGTAATTTATGAAATATTTATCCCCAGAAATGAATCTACCAGTAGTCTGGATAAACCACAGGGAAACGCTGGGGTCAGTGAAACAAGATTGTCTATAAGTTGATCACTGTTGAAATGGAGAGGTAGAAGGTACGTGGGAATGTGCTACAGTATTCTTTCTACCTTTGTCTGAAAACTGTCCAAAATAAAAAGTTTCCAAAAATTAACGTAAAAATACCACGGACAAAGTGTTCCACCAAATGCCTCCTAGAAGGCTCTCAATTTCAGCTGTGCTGTATGTATTACTCCACCATCTATTTCTTAACAGTTGGCTCGAGTGCAACGTTACAGTCTCCAAGGAGGCTGCCTGCCCTCTTGGCAGCAGGGTGAGTGCCATGATGCAGCTGCTGTTGGCATGCTGAGAGCTGGAAGGGGAGAAACTATAAGGCAAAACAAGAGTAAGTCACAAAGAAAATGTGAGTCAAAATTCAAGGACCCCACACCCGCTACTCCGCTCACGAAGTCGAGCTTGGCAGCCAGTGGAAGCAGAGGTGGGGGCTGAGGGCTGAAACAGGTGCATGAGTTCCCTGGCAAAAAGCAGCCCTCTCTCTTACACACACAGTCTTTCAGTTTTTTCATTTGCATAATAAAATGGGTCTTTAAAGAAAAGAATGAGTATGTTAACCACAATGGAGCAAGAAGAAAAGAATCACTTAACCTATGGTTAATAGCCAAATTTTAAAAAATTACTTCAAATATTATGTTCATAAAGCATATTCGTTATTTTTGTGATTAATCCGGTTCGCAGAAGGGCTGCTATGACAATGTTCTCGAGTATAAGTTCCTTCATATAATCTAGCTTTAATACTTTTCCAAATTAATGTTTGGCCTCACATGGTTTAAGTAGGAGTAGGCCATGTCAGAATTTTTTTTTTTTTTTAATCTTGGGGAGAAGAGAAATTTCCTTATCTATATCATTACAACAAACAAAGTTTACAGTTAATCAGCTATTTTTATGTTTGTATAAAAATTATTTCTTGTTCATCAGTTGAGCTGTTAAAAAATGGGCTGGCCAAGTTTATCTTGTAATCCTCACATTCTATTATCTTTGTTTCAAATAATTCAGAAAGGTTTATAGACACTATTCCTCCCTTTCTTGCAGAGGGGCTGCAAAGATTCATGAGGTTCAATCTGTAAAATCTTCTCAGAGCTTCCGAAAAAAACAGTCCAAGAATACAAGGCACATAACACTTTTCAGTAAAGGCTTAGAAAAATGAAGTCACTTCCCTGGAGCAACAGAAGGTTAGTGGCATCCTGTGAACCTCACTCCTGGGTATTTGAAAGCAAGGAAATGCAGGTTTGAGAACAGACTACATTTTTCCTGGAACAGAAGCCTCCCAAACCACCATGAAATCTATTAAGGGGTGCCAATTTTGCAAACCTGCTAACAATTTGGAGACTTCCCGACTAAAGTATGACTATTGTATTAATATGAGCATCACCTATATTTGGCATCTTTTCAAACCTCCTGCTTTTTAAGGCAACCCATGCCTCGGATAAGTAGAGATAAAGTAAGTGTCCTATGAAAGCAAAATATTGAAGCATTAAAATTTAGAAACCAACCTTAACCAAAACAGTCACAGAACCTATTAGAAGAATATGAAACCAGGTACAAAACACATCTCACACATTCAATTTTCACGCAAAGAAGGTAGCTATATGCTAAAGGATATTTCTAGGAAACGAGTTACAGTAAGAAGAGGTAATGTCAAGCTCTGGCTGTCTATGCCTTTAAATTCTAACATCTATAAATAAAAGACATGTTCCTTTGAACAATAGCCCGAACGGACAACACTGTCACTTTATCTCCCCAGATAACTATCCATTCTATTCTGGCTTCAGCTGGTATCTGCCTGCATTACATCAGCGTCCTGACGGGGGTGGGCTGGGGGGCAAATGTGAGTCAGAAGCATCAGGGGACAAGAGGTTAGAAGGCGAGAGAAGCAACAGCATGGTTAAGGCAGTACTCCGCCTCCTTATTTATTTTTTCTAAGAGGCTAGTTGCTAATAAATGTCCAGCTAGCTCATAAAAGCCAGGGGGCTGGTCTCTTCTACCTGTATCAGTCCTAAGCAATAGTCTCCTTTGGCTAGGGAGAAACTATTTGGCAAAGGTGGAGACCGTTCGCTGCTTTTCTGCAAATCCTCCCTACGCAGAGCACAACACCTGCACAGCACACTTGTGACACCTGAATCGGGTCCCCCTTTTTTCTGAGATATTCTAGGCACCCCACACTTGATTTTTTACATCGAGGGGTTAGGCCAAAGAAACAAGCAAAAGCCCAGAACACCTGACCACGGATACCGCTGAATGAGGCAGGAGACAAAGCTGAATTCACTGCCAACCTGTCTCCCATACGGCCTGGCCTCCCAGTTTGAGGATGCCATATATTAGAGTAGCAAACTAAGAGGCCAGGGTAGAAAGTAGCTATTTTCTTTGCTCCCTTTCCTTTCTGATTTCTGACATCATTTCAATTTACAGCTTGGCTCATGATTTTTTTTTTCAGTATTTGTTCCCTTTTCTTCCCCCGCCGCCCCCCCCCCCCAGTATTTCCACCTCCCTTTTCTTTCTGTTTTTTCCTTTTTTTTTTAAAAAAAAAAAAAAAAAAAAAAAGTTCTCCTGACTTCCTCTTTTCAGAACTCCCGCTGAACCTATGCAAGTGAAGAGGGGGAAGGAAGCAGGCTGGCACTGGCTTCTGTAATCTGTTCCACGCATTCTTGGAAAAGTGGCTTCACTGAAGCCGGAAAATCCTCCATACAGCCAACTAGAGTGGGGGAGCAGTGGAAAGAGGAAAGAGAAACATTTTAGGAAAGGGACCAGCAAGAAACAGTATGTTCAGCATGGGATCCTGTTTAATATGGGTTTGGGACATAAAAAAGGCTATTCTGGTGATTTTTTTAAAAAATGTTTTTAAAAGTTCGTTTATAGAAGTTCATCATCTCTGACCTGAAGCTCTCCAGGAATCTCATGTTTTCCTGTAGGCCTTCCCCCTCATTCCTGCCAGCCCATATTTCACCCCTGCTCTGCTCCCGCCCTACATCACCACCTGGCCCCTCGCTGCTGGCCGGCGGGCTAGCACCCGACTCTGCAGAGGAAACACGAATCATCAGGCGAGGATCTCTTCTACTTACCGCATCTCGGCCCCTCCACGCTTCCCTCCTACCAGCACAGGCAAGTTGCCCTCTTCCCACCCAAAGCGAATCCCTCCCCGCGGCTCCACACCCAACCCGTCCCTCCTCTTCAAGGACGCGGCTTCATCCATTAGGAGGTGGCTCCCAATTGCCAATCTTTTATAAAGTCAATTCACCATTTACAGAAAATTCTGCTGAGGTCTTTCACACCCACTGGCATCTCACCCACTGAACACCCACACTATCTTTCTCCCTTTTTTCACAGCCATGCTGAGACGATTGCTGACACTCGCTGTCGGTCTCACTGCTCACCCACTGCGGTCTGCCTTCCCTCTCTGCCCCTGTACCGACACTGCTTTGTCCAAGGTTACGAATAATCACACCGTGCTCAACTGAGAAGGCGTTCTGAAGTGCTAACCTCATGTGACTTCTTTGTAGCACTTGAGACTGGTGACCCTCTGCGTTTTTATTTTCTGGCTTCCGTGCCACTTCTTGGTGTTGCCTCTGTCTAGCTGATTATTCTTTTGTCTGTTTCTGAAATGATGTTCTCCAGGGTCTCATTTCTGTTCCTTTATTCTTCCTCGTCTCAACAGACTTCCTTAGAGGAGCTTATCCATGTCCGTGGTTCCTATTGCCCTATCTCTCCACTCCCTGAAAGTAGATAAGTATGTAGATGCATGCATGTGCGTACACGCGCGTGCACATGCCCACACCCATCTTGAACCCAGACTTCTACTTGGGGCTCCTGACCCACATGTTCAACTCCTATTATACCTTTCTTTTCTTTTGGAATATTGAACTCAGCATGTTCTGAACCTGACAAGTCCTGCCCAGCTCTACTCCAACCCAATGCTCTTCTAATATTTTTTGTAAAATGACTGCCAAACACAGAAGCCTGAATTATCTTTCTCTCTCCCTGTCACTTCTTCCATCCAGTAAATGACGGAGTCCTACTGATTTTGAGGTTCTTAACGTCTCCCCAAGTTTCATCATTTGTCATCGATCCCACTGTCAGTTCTCTTAATGCAAGCCTGTGGCCTTGTGTCATGAATAACCGCACGAGTGTCCTGCATATGGCCTCACTCCCCCTACACTACATCCTCCCTCTCACTGGTCGTATTGAACACACATGCTCTTCCTTGCTTAACGCTTCTCAATGCCTTTGGACAAAAGAGCAAACTCCATATCGTAGCACATAAGGTATGATCTGGTCTTGCTTACCCCTCTGATTTCTTTTATTACCATTCCCTAACGTCTTCATCCATACCAAGCTATTTACTATCATCCAAACATGCCACGCTCTCCCTTTAGCTCTGAGCTTTGGCTCATTTGATTACTTCTGCCTTAATGAAGACATCTTTCTCTCTTCTTCTCCCTTCATCTTGCCTATTTCAACTTGCCCTTCAGGATGCACACTAGGACTCTTTCAGAAAGATCTCCCCAAGTAACTCCTCCAACCTGGGCCAACTGCGTGACTGTGTATTCCCACAACAGCTTGTGCATACCTCTCTCACCACACAAATCATACTGGACTAGAATTCTCTGTCACCTCTCAAAAAACCATGGGCCACTCAAAGCCAGGGACAACGGCTTTCATCTCCATTTCCCTGGCAATTGGAGCAATGCCGCTCATAATAGGTGATCGATACATATTTACTGAATGACTCAATAATTGCAGTTTCTTCATGAACTTTAGATTCAGATTTGTTCAGAATAAGCCAGGAATTATTATGTTAAGCTGGATTTCCACATCTGTTTTTTTTCTAACAAGATTTTGCTCACTGTATTATCACCCACATGGTGAACCATGGATGGTATTAAATACACATAGGACTTAAAACTAGTTTAGTTTCCTGAAGAATGAGACGGATTGTTCTTGACTTGCCAAATGAACAACTTCACAAAAGCGTCTTCCAGTGGAAGTTCAGTAAGGTTCTGCTATAATGTATGTGAGACTGTGACAACTATTTTTTATCAGAGATCCACCTTTCACTGAGAGAGAGAGGAAGAAGCTAACCTTATCAACCTTATCAACTTCTCTGGTTTCCATAAAAAGGGATTTTTCTCTAAGCCCCTTGGCTGTCTGCCATACCCCTTATTCCTCCCCAAGGAAGTAGACTGAGCTATCCAGTTGGTGGATGACGGCCATAGGTCATGTTTCTAGATGAGGGACACTAAACCATCCAAGGTCCTAAGCCTGGAGAAAGTCTCTTTCTTCGCTCTCTATTTGGACCAGGGGAGACAAGTTACCAGAGTTCAGAGTGTCTGTTGTGCTGACTTAAACTTTCCCCACAGGTCTACAGATGGGTTACTGGGAGTGTCGAAGTCCATTTCCACTACTACATTAAGCTCCCTCCTTTAGCCTGGGCTGCGTTAGTTGAAAGGGGGACATTTTGTTTTGCTGTCTGCTGGCTCTCTGGTCTTATTTCTCCACTGGCCCAGGATACAGATGAGGAAAAGGAGTGCCCTTTATTAGGATATTATGACCCCACCAATTTCTATTTCCCACACACCTCCATTTATACCAAAATGAGAGGCATATTAATCACACCAAACAAACAAAAACAGAGTCGTACAGATCTTGCATGACCTCAGAATTAAAACTGTAACCAACTAATGATTTTTAAAAACTTACATGTGCTATAATACTCTATGAAAAACTTACTGGTATGATTTTATCAATTTCATAATTCAGTTAAATCTGTGGGATAGGAAAAGTTTGAATCAGAATCTTGGGAAAATGATGTTTGTTTAGTGCTTTATACAGTTTTTGAAGTAGTTTCACATACTTTGTTTCATTTGAGCCTCACAACCTGTTAAATTTGATAGGGAAGCTACTGTTTCAATTCTCATCTTCTGAGGCTCAAAGTTTATTGACTAAGGTCACGTCACTGCTAATTGGCAGAGATGCGTACTCTGGGTTTCCTGATTTACAACCCAATGCTCCCCCTTCAAGGTAAAGACCATCATCAAGGGAAATAATTTAACTTGTCTGGGTTTTGTTTGTTTGTTTTATGGACTTAGCAATTTCTCTATGGACAAGTGTCATCTGGAGTAGAGAATGAAGGTCCAAAAGTATAGATTGTGCCACTATAGAACTAGAGCTCAAAGGATCAGTGCAACTAAGCATCTTGTTACTTGGTTAAATGTAGTAAGCTGGATACAGTATGTAAAAGCTTAAAACTATAGCATCTGATCACAGCCATGGCTACACAATGGCTTAGGCTTCTGTACATGAATTCTTTAAGCTTATTATGTATAGCACAGGTCTGCAGAATTTGATATCCCTTATTAGTCACACTGGATTCTACTTAACTTCCCATTTATATAGCTTTCCTTATTTTAAATATCTATTCAGCTCCTTTAGAACACAATGCAACAAGGTCATGTTTTTCCAGATAAAAATGATCTTGTACTTCTCAGCACACTAAATATTAATTTCACTCAAATGAAGGATTTTCATTTTGTAAAACAATAAAGCACTTCAACTGTCTGCATGGACCAATAAGAAAGGAAATGGAATACTTTCTAATTTTAAAGATGGTAAGAAAATAGAAATATTTTATTATACTTTTTATATAATTAGATAAATAGACATAACCTATATGATATTGGTTGAATGGAAATAAATAGCATACTATAGTAGTAGGAAATACAAAATGAAAGTAAGTCTAAAGATATTAAGTAACAGCTACATGCTGGGGTTTTTTTGGGCAAGTGCTTTGATGGAATGAACATTTAACAAATTCATAACCTAAGTATAATATGTATTTTTAAGAACAAACATTTATTTGTCATTATAAACAATAAAAATGCAATTATGTCATGTTAAAGT